TAAAGTAGATTATGAATCATAATTTTTTCTCCGAGTCTGTTAGATATAGTTATTGATTTTCATTGAAGTTATGAACCGATCAAGTTTAGACCATCATTGAAAACCTGGAATTCCTGAAAGGCCGCTTTGTCCTTATATGGGACTCCTCAGTGGTACTTATTCACGACCCTGTAACTTAGAATCAAGTCCAAAAACTTCGGTATCTCGCTCGAAACGCTTAACATCTAGACCATTAAGCCGACATCCAACGGTGTTGGATTAATTGAAGTCAGACTTGTATACCATTAGATCTTTACTCAATCATCTAGAGGTTAAGCGTTAGCAAAGGTTGTGAGCTTGATTACATGTCTTAGAATCACAGATACAGACTGTTGAGGAGTCTTATATTAAGACGAATAGACCACACAGTGCTTTCACATTTCAACGGTTGTCTGACGTAGATCAGTTCATAGTCTTTTGATAAAATATTCATAACCAGAGTGGTATGTGGTGTCAACTCATCAGTTCATTAAATGTTATGTTGATCATTATAAAGCTATTTAATTGAAATTATTATAATGTAAGTAAGTAGTGATCTCTGGAAAATCTGGATAATAATGACAATCTCTGTGGGTATTACATTAAATATTGAAAACCTTATTACTTCTGCTACTATGCCTTATTTTATTTATTGCGTATTTTCTGACGTTTCTTTTTTGCATCTTGACTTGTGTATCATTTTAGAGTAAAAAAAGAATACTAATTGACTCGCTACTACGTGCAATGTTTCACCTTTTCGTTTGTCTATCTATCTATACTCTGCCTGGAGTCCCTCCGGGGGCTACTGCCGGTCCCAAGCCCGGATAAAGGAGGAGGCTTGGACATGGGGGTTAGTGACCCAATCCCGTAGAAAAATAACTCGCTAAAAAAACGCTAACCAGAAAATCTATCTATAGTGCTCAATGGAATTGTCTTTAGTTAATCATGGTTACTAAGTGACAGTTCAGTGCATCCATGTAAGGACCATACTGTATTCAGTGATACCGCTGGTCAACTGAAAGAGAGTGAAGTTTCATAACGAATGTGATTACCATTTCACACAGAAATATACTAAATCCGGTATAGAATATAATGGATGAGATAGTCTTTTCTTGGTTTTGTCTTTTCTTAACTTAGTAATCTCATGAAAACTCAATATTCAATGTTCAATAATCAAATCGACTTAGGAATTCTTATGTAGAACGAAATATATATTTCTTTTCTGTTATTCGTTAAAATGCTACTAAACTCTATTTTGATTCAGTAGTATACAAACATTTTGAACAAGAACATTGTTTTTTTCTTCGTCTTAATTGAACACTTTTCCCCCAATAGAATGATTTGATTACATCTAACCCTGTTGTAACCAATATATTGGAAGGTCAAGAAGATCAATTCATCCATTCAATGAAATATTTTCAACAAACATTAACATTATCACAAACATGGTCATGGATTTATGGTAATTCACCAAGTTTTCAATTAGCATTAGAAAATTATGAACCTAATCTATCTTATCTTACTAATCAATTTGGTTCCATTGTCATAGATTGTAGTCGTGGTGGAGTTTTTAAATCTATTGGATTTGATCATTCTCATAATTGTAATATAGATCCTTTATTGAAAGATTTTTTATCAGAGTTAACTATATGTCTTCATGGTGCAGAATGTCGAACTAATTCATGGGATTTTATATTGGATCAATTTGTATCTAAGAAACTAATTCAATTGAATGGTGAAAATATGTCTAATGAACAAGTGTTAATAATTAAGGCGTTAAAAATGATTTCTAGTCTATTTTAATACGATTTTTATTGATTAAAATCATATTTCTAGTTTACTTTTATTATGGAACATATTATGTACAAGAGCACTTGTTTTTCATATGTTCGAAAGCGTAGTCGGGTACTTGTTATATCTCAAAGCCGTCGATGGATGGGCAGTGACTTATCGACCGGATCAAGGGATTTAGAATCTCAATAGGCTATTCTGGTCCGTTGTCCCCGACTCAGCTAACTCGATCAAGAAGTCTTGGTAAGGCGTAGAAAGTGTATTCTACAGGCAACCAACAGATACCAGGTCAGGTCAGTCAGGCACACAATTCAAACGTATTTATACAATATATATATATATATATATATATATATATATATATATCGCCATGGGAGTTCTTAAACATTTAATCGATAAGTTCATCGATCGACTATGTGCGTGGGTGATAAGAAATGCCCAAGCATGCATCTGCATACAAACTCCACAAAGATAAAATTACAAAATATGAGTTTTGGGGATCTATCGTCCCCAACAGTAATGCATCATATTGGTCTTCATGGCGTTAATGTATGATTCAGAATCGAGTTATATTGATTAATATGATCATGGAGAGTCTGTGAGATTGAGTTTTCTAGTTTATATCCACTGATCCTAATGATACAAATATTCGAAACTAGTAATAACTAGACAGTTGCTTTGTCCTAGTATAGGCTTACTCAACAACGGGCGTTCAAAACCCCATCGGTAATCAAAGCCAGGATCACACGATGAGCTCCCAACCTTTAGACAATGTTTCTAACTTCAATTTATTCGCCATATTATGCAATCTATCAGACATGATTAAACTCTACTAGTCACGATGTCTCCCTAGAACTAAACTTTTCTCTTGAGAAATAATGCGGACTGCGTGGTCTGAATGTTACACATTCATCAGGAGCCATGAAGGTTGAATATTCTATATAGAATATTCTAATATAGAATTCGGAATTATCGAAATTTGACACCAGTCCATGAAGTCATCGACTCTTAGAATGAGACATCTAGGTAGCTGTAAACTACCCGGTTGCCTACTGCACGATTATCGTTACCAGTGTTACACATGTCGGATGATGTGAATCGAAATCGGTCTAAACACATCCACCCTTTTTCTTCCCTTAGATCTTATACTTTTTTATTTCATAAACTCATATTTTCGAGAATCACCTCGTTTATGCCTGTTGTCTTTTACTCTTACCGATACTGCTGCTACTACTACTACTACTACTACTATGTCATTAATCTTGATAGTTTCATCTTATATGTTGATGCGATATGTCGGCTTGATTGGATGCACATATATGCCAAGTTCTATGATGATTATGGCTGACTGATGCAGACTTATTTAAATTCTTAAAGTTTTCATCTATTAAATCTTAAGCGATTACACAACTATTTGTAAATTTAGATAGATTCCCATTGTTAATTTGTATATATGAAGGGTTAATTTCCCTTTATGACATAAATTGTTCATATAACTTACTTTAAAATTATTTTCTTCCGTAAAGTCGTAAACTTCTGGGTAGTTCTTTTTTCTATATGGAAACAAAAACGCTATATTAACTGTCATCTAAATGAACTTCTGACATAAAATCAAAACCAGTTTATGAAAATATTAACCAGTATGATGGCCGGTATTTTTTATTATTAGTAGTTTGAGTGAAGGATGCCTTAAAATTCCTTATTGAGAATCTGTACCTTTAAACATGTGACAGTAATAATGATGAATACAGACTTCAGAAGAATTCAAACAATCGATTACTCTTTAGTCAATTCAGTTCGAAGGAATACAAAGATAAGATCGTTTATTACTTTATAGTGCTGAATTATTATCTTTACTTTTTTACAGTATTCAACAGTTAAAAAACCCAATTCTTTGGGAACTTATCCAAGTTTCTTGTGAACTATGAGACAATTAACATTCGATATTTGAAAAAAACGATAATCATTGATTAGTCACTCTCTGTGTTCGATCATCGTTGTCTCCGAAGAATTGTTGACATCCAGTGGCAACACCATGTTAGTAATGCAGAGGTTCAGCATCGTGTGTTCCGGCACAGAGGCGATAATGCAATTGGTGTCACCATCTTGAAACACCGACTTCGGTGGCTTGGACATGTTCTACGAATGTCGTCCCAGAGAATTCCACGTCGTGCATTATTTGCCGACTCTGGGACTGGTTGTAAAAGGCGGAGAGGTGGTCAGTATATGACATGGTGTTGTGGCATGAAAGAAAGCTGCAAAGGACTGGCTTCTGTTGGTCCTTCACGACTTCCTGGTTGGGGTCCGAGAGATGGTGCGACACAGTGGCTAGAGACGTTATCAGATATGGCTCAGAATAGAAGCCAGTGGTGATCCTGCTGTAACCTTCTTTTAGTTTCTTCGTAAAAAGTGGTTGTATCTTCCTTAACTGAAAGATTTCTTCTGATTGTACCTTTCCGTTCCCCCATTTTTACCATTATTATTACACCACCTTACATCAATCTCTTCGTTATTATTCCCTTTTTTCCTTCCCCTTAAATTCTCTTTGTTTTGTGTGGCGCATTCTTGTACCAATATTTATGTGTTCAAATAAATAAATAGTTCTGATTGATCGATTATCCATTGATAAGTTGGGTTACTAATTAGTAGTCAACACATATATGTATTTATTCATATAATCACAAGTCCTATGGGAGGTCGGTCGCATCCCGAATAGCTCAGTGATAACGTTTTGGGTGACGGGTTTAAATCTCAATATCGCAAATATGCTCTACTAATCAGTGCCAATCACTATGAAAGCTAAGCCTAAATTCTCTTAACAGAATTGAATCTTTCTTTTCAAACGCGTACCGTTTGAACATACGATTCATTAATTAAGTACTTAATAGGTTTTTCGTTGTAATAAGAGATTATTCTGATGTATGACCCTAAAGGTAAGTGAATGCATAACGTTCTATAACTTGTGACCATGGATTCATATTTTCAACTTCAAACAATACGTAATGTAATTTGTTCTCCATCTAATATCAACAATTGATAGTAGCTGTCTCCTTTAACTTGATCAATTTAACAAATTGCACCTTCCCAAAATTATATCAAGGATCGGTGAAGTACACGACGGTTACCGTAGATATTTTGACAACCAACTATTGACAACTGTATATCCTCAACACTAAAAACAACAAAAAAATAGGAAGAACTCAAAGCATTTTTTATTCAATTACTATTCATAGTTGTTTTTTTTTAAATAGTAGACAAATTAACAAAACAGCAAAGAGAAAAAATACCACGAGTTGACAAGGTAACACACGCACACAAAAGAAAAGTTACTCAACAACTAAAGAGCAAATCAAATAAAGTAACCAGAAAATAACAAATAAATATGATCCAACTGGCAAGAGAACAATTCAAATGGGTCAGTGTACATATACATATGTATAGAAAAAAAAGAGAAGGAAGAATCGATTTGGTTCATGGAACAAAACAGGGAGATCGATCGATTGATCGATCATAAGGTGGATACTTACATTTGAGAGGGAAAACAAAAACAAAGATTCACAAAGTTATTTTTTCACACCATTTGACCAATACAAATAATGATGATAGAATCAATAGGATTAAAACACTCAACACTATACTACTAATTATGAATAGACTATTGATATTTGTCAATATACAATGAAAAGAACTATCGACGAATAGACATTACACACAGAGAGAGAGAGAGAGAAGAGATACCTCATTTATTTGAATTCAGCATTAACGAAACTCGATGCAATAATTACTCAAAGTAAGGAAATAAATGCTATGAAATAGTTCAAATAGTTTGACAATAAAGGAGCCATTTGATAATAGATATCGAGGAACAATAACAACAACAGCAAAAATGTGAAATATTAAAGATATGGAATATATATATATATATCATCTATTACCGAACACTATCATCTAACAATCATAGCAACAATAGGATGATGATGATAATATATGGATCAATAATAATGAATATGAAGATATTAGGAAACGTTAAATGGAAAAAGATATGTTCACTTCAAACATGACACTGGTTACGACTCCTTTTTATTATTATTATTATTGTTGTTGTTGTGATGGTGGTGGTGAAAATTTAACATGATGGAACTAGTGATAGTAAATTAAGATAAATTGTAAAGTATCAAAAGTACACATTAAAAAAACAAAACAATTTGTACACACTATTATATGTATATTAAAGGAAGGGGGAGAGATTGTGTGTGTGTGTGTGTGTGTGTGTAAGGAACAATGATTCAAAATACAAAAATGTTCTCACATTTTATTATCATTTGAGAAAAACAGAATAAAAGGCATGATTTTGTCACTTGAGATCAAGAATTTACTACATACACACACACAACACAAACCAACCAATACAGGATGAGAGAGAGAGAGTAGAACTAGAAAATACAATGGACAATTTCAAATTCCAAAATTTTTCGACGGAGCATAGAGAGGTAATCATAAGTAAAATAGTCTGGTTGATAATAATAATAATGATGATGATGATATGTAATTGTATGCTTATAAAAATAAGACAGAATATATGCGAAATGATATCGCTGGTTGTGATAATCCACTACTAACTAGGCATAACGACAGAAACAATAACAACAACAACAACACTTATCGAAATGAACACAAATTTAATTATAAAAGTTTAAGGCACATTTTACAGATCAGGATCAAGAAGAGGACACACACACACACACAGAAAAACAACAACAGTGAAACGAAATTGTATCATATTCTACACAAAAAAAAAATTGATGAATTCTTGAGATTTTTGGCCGCTGATATGTATGTTTTACAATGAAGACTGAATCTAACAGTATTATTGAAAGAAAATTATAAATAGTCAACGTATCAAAATAATTACCAAGAGGAGGTGTGTGTGTGGGGGGGGGTATTTTTCAAGTAAGTAAATAGATAGATCATATTTTGACAATTCAAAAAACCGGAAATAATAGTTGCACAAGAGAAATATTAAGTAAGTTCATGTTGGATAACACATCAATGTTGATGATGGATTGATGAATGTTTCGGAGTAATTAATTTATCCATTGGAAATGAGACAATTAATGATGCCTCTTGCATAGTGATTTGTTGTTTTCTGTACAGAAATAGAAAATAAAATAGAAAATTTCTTTAATTTATATATATACTATTCTTGGATTATAAATTGCCTCAGTCAGTCGATACTAAATAAGGTAGAACCTAGTATGTATGTGCAATCTCAACTAACATTATTGACTGTTGGTTACAATCTTAACCACGTATTTCCGGTCCAGGCCAATATTCAGTAGTCTTCTAAACTGATGTTATATATTAATTTAGCCGCCCCTAACTTTATTCCAACATAATCTTACACCAGCAAACGTGCTTGCAAGTAGAATATACATCATGAGGGCCAAAACCACTGTAATAGGTGAAAATTCAATATTTGTCAACTAATTTCTCATCCTATATTTAGGATTAACAATTTTTACCCGATAGTTCTAGGAGAAATTAGCAATTATTTGAAGACGTCAAACATTAAGAACCAACCCATTAGGATTCCAAGATAATTGAAGTGGCATGCGCGATCGAACACTTCAATCTACGGTCCCCCCACAGGACAGGACACAAGCCCTGAAATCTAATTTTGGCCACAGTTAATTCATTTAAAGAAACTTCCTTATGTTTGATTACAATGAAGAAAGCATAAATATAACTATAACTATGTGGTAAATACACCAGCATACATCATTTGTGGAGCTAATGCAATAATAATTCACGTATAGTCCCAATGTTTGTTAATGTAATAACGACAGTTTTTTTAGTATTATAATTATAAACTACCTGCGTTACACTATATCTAACAAAAAAGTGAGAAACTGACACATGTAAGTTCTGTACAGCTTTGTTCCATACCATAGCGCCATGCCATAAACTGACCACTTCTGTTTTTTCCAACCATTCCTAGAGTCACTGAATAATCCACGACATTGAATCCGTCGGGACGACGCTCGTATCATGTTTCTTAACCCACCTAAGACGTTTTTTCAAGATAATGACACTAATCGAATCGTCGTTACTGTGCTGACTCTCTCCATTACTAATATGATGCTACCATTTAATGTCAGCAATTATTTAGATACAACGATGATTGAATACCGTGGGTTGCCTGACAGGTCTCACAAGCATAGAGCAGGATTCCTCACACCAACACGTTGTGGACCCGACCTTTTATAGCCAGAACAGTATCACGATAGTGCAGATTGGCATAGGCCTCTATGACTTCGCTTATACGTAAATTGATCTAAACATCAACGTCGCCACCAACACTTACACAGCTACCCAAATACAAACTTTTTAACTTCTAACAGCTTAACATCATGAATGGGTACAAACACAGTGGCTTGAGATTTTATCAGATATCGTTCAGAACAGAAGCCAGTGATGGTACTGTAATAACTTTCTTTTTTAGTAGGAAAGTTCTTTGTGGTTGTATTTTTTAACTGAGCTTCTCGTCCTATTATTTACTACTTTGATCTACTTATATTCATTCATTCCTTTTCTCTACTATACTCACATTCTTCCCTCTATCTCTTCGGAATTTCCGTTTCTTATCTAGTGTAGGGCATATATGTTTTGGTGCCCTTTCATAGTAAGATTTATGTGTTTAAATAAATAAATAGACTACCTATAAGCAATTTGAGTTAAACAACATAATTTCCTTCTCCTCACAAAACGCAAATAAAAACGTACTAGATGGAGTTTTGTGGATATCATAGTAATTTTAATAGTTGAGATCATGAGTCAATTGAAGCTAGACCACCATGGAAAACCTGAAAGCACTGAACGGCCGTTTCGTCCTCAGCATTAACACCGTTGGACGCCGGCTCAGTGGTCTAGAGGTTAAGTGTTCGCGCGCGAGATCTATAAGTCTTGGGTTCGAATATCGCGAGGTGCGGTCGTGGATGTGCACTGCTGAAGAGTTCTACAATAGGACGAGACGGCTGTCCAGTGATTCCACGTTTTTCATGGTAGTCTAGCTTCAATCGAAACATGACCTCAACTATTTAAAAAAATGTACAAGCCAAACATCTAGTGAACTACAAACAACTGTTGTTATCAAGATATTTAGTAGAGATAAGTTTCATTTGTCCATAATATTTGGTAGAAATCGAGATTATATGAGACGACTCTATATTGAAAACCAAAGAACACTGGACAGCTGTTCAGCTCCACACACTCACATAGATAAACACTACAAACTAATCCTTATACGTAATTCATCCATTCAGTGATAAGCAAGCAACATACAACCTGATACATATGTGTATCGGTTGCTGAACTACAACAGCACAGAGGGAAGTTCATCAAACAACTTTTCTGACCTTAACAACTGGTATAATAATCCACACACTAACATACACAGTATTCAATATAAATCAACTAAGACGAATCCAACACAATCTCAGTAACTCAACAACTGTAATTTGTCTTGTCCCAACTTATACAAAATCTAGGAGATCTAGTCACAACTTCCTGTCAATTCCCTTCATATACTTTACATCAAAATAGAATATAGGTGACGATGAGACTTTCAAGTTTACTGGTCACATATTGCGTCATTGATCGATGCAATAATCCGAAGCGCACCCAATAACGACTAGGGAAGAACAGCATTATTCATCTACTACTCAGTGACCAATCAGTTTCAAAGATTTTCAGTCAATATGTACTGAATTATTTCATCTACATTGGTTTATAGTTTAAACGGTTGGAATTCATTATTTAGAAAGAGAATACAATTTAAAACAAATAGCAAGCATGCACAAAATTGAAGTCGTCAACGTGAAGCATGAGTGAGATGATCTATTCACTATTAGGCAAATCTCAAAAATACGACAGCAAGCGTTAAGCATTTGTCGATAAACCTGGATACGATCTCAAATTTGGTCCTGGATGTGCACTGCTGTTGAAGAGTCCATATAATAAAATGGAACTGTTGTTCAGTGCTTCATAGCTTTCAATAGTTATTTTAGTAAAATCCATATAACTGACTCATCGTAATTTATATTCGTATTACCTATTATTGATATGATATTCTGATTTTCGACCATCTTGTAAACGACGAGGAGTTGACATAGCTGAATGACTAGAAATTACTGGTGCTTGATAATAGTGAATAGATTCAGGTGAATTTGTTGTTGACATTATTGTTGCTACTGTGTTGTTGTTGTTGTTGTTGTTGTTGTTGTTGTTATATTATCATGATTATTATGTTGACTTTTATTCAATGGTAGACGAGCATGTGTTGAACGTGAACGATGAGGAGATGGAGTAGATTTTTTATAATCTTTATCTATCTGCTTAGAATTCATGTAAATAGCAGGTGTCTGAAATATTAGAAAATACAGGCAAGAAATTTCGATTTATGAATGTTACAGTTACGATATTAGATTTCTAGTTAAATTTGTTTGTCAAAAATGTAAATTTTCTTCTTCTAAAAACCAAAGTGTACAACATTATTGATATATGCCGACCAGGATGACCGTCAGGAGCTATCCTGTTATCCCACAAAAAAAAAGCAGGTTACTTATGTTGTACATGGTCTTGTGTGATCAGAGGCACTTCAGTGATGACAGTCATCTAGTATAGTTATACATTTGTATTTTTAAATATACTAGTCGATGATGATGATGATAATAATAGAGAATTATAGCATCATTAACGGAGGTAATACGAATCTACAAGTAAATGATGTCATCGAAAGAAAAATCTGTTCTTGACTGAAACATCTTTATATTGTTTCGTTGCAAAGATTCATTCGAAATTCAAAAAGAACAATCTAAATAATGATAACTGGGATAATCAGTGATGTTAAAAGAATTGAAATGTTACACAATTCAATAGTGAGAGTACATTATATTAAGTCTCTGAATACAATTAATCAGGTAATTCTGGTTACGGATAGTATTTATAGTATTTAATCATAGCTTTTTGGAAACAGTTTTCATCATAGGACCATTACTGAAGAGATGTTTCATCATACTTTGGAACTACTCAACCCAACCGTAGTTGTTATCTTGACAATGTGGTCGAGTTTGTTTATTGTAATGACCCACATTGGCTGAAACATTTGTTTTGTTAGGATCTACCATCTGAGCAAGTTGGTTGGATAACTTGGTAAGGATTAAAACCAACTAACTCATGGTCTGAAGGCGAGGTCGAGCTCCCAAACGGATAAGAGTATGACACCAGTAACATGTTTCCAAAAGAGAAAAAGGGGGTTGGAAAAAGTTGAACCTAAAAACAACACTCCTCATCTTGCTCCACCCATTCTTATTGCAAGTTATTAGATTTGGAAGTCACAGTGCTGATAAATTTAAAGGCGTATGTGACTGTCCTCTAACAGTTGTCCTATGAGCATTGGAGTTACGATCCCAAGTCATTGAAATCACCTACTTCTATCAAGAATAAGTGTCTTCCTACCATGTGGGTCACTGAAAAGGGATAATTGCTCTCGTGCATTTAAAGAAACTGATATCATTTCGTTTATAATTAACTCCAAAAAAAGTTAATATCCACGACTTCATCAAAGATATGATGATATCAATACGTGATTGAAGTAATTTTCATCATGATTTAAAAATCTTCCTCAATTCGAAGATAAACTTTTACAAATTTCATTTTCTAAAAAAAAACGTTTTTTTTTACAAACCTGGGATTTAGTGGAACTTTCGGAGAGAATACCATCCTGTTGGTTAGAATTTTTATGATGTTCATAATGATGATGATGACGGCGACGACGACTACGAGAATTGTCGTTAGTTACTAATGCATTATTGTCATCATGACCAAAATTCGATTTTTTAATACTTGTTGATAATACGGTTGGATCAACAGTGTTCAATGCTAAGCAATAAGTCGGAGACGAAGCTGTTGAAGTGATTTTTGGAGATGATTTTGATTGATGAGTAGTTGAATGGGATAAGATAACAGATGTGGTCATTGAGTATGATGATTTTTTGCGTCTATTCTGTTTTGTCTCATCAATCATTCGAGGATCATTATTAGATCGCTCTTCTGGCAGTGGACGATATTTAATCATTTTGGAATGATTCGATTTCATTGTTAATATAGGTGGTGTTGTATAACTGACACGAGGTGGTAGCGGAGGTGGACTAATATCAGGTGGAGGACAGTATGGATGATTTACAGAGATAGTCTTGTAATTAGTATGATGATTATTATTCATTATATTCGGTGATATTGTTTTGTACATAGAATCATTACAAATTACATTAGAATCCATATGATGAGTAGTGTTAGATAATTTTGACTGACTAGATGAATGATTAAAGATTTGCTGAACAGATGGAATAGTAGAAGTAGTGGTAGTGGTAGAAGTAGGATTATTATAACTGTTTTTTTCATGAATTTTATCTATTAACTTTGTTGATGTTAAAAGATTACTAGTAATTTGATATTCAGGAACTGAAAGGCGTCTTAATTGTTTTTTAGATAGAATAGTTGATGTCTCCGATGTTGGTTTAGATTGATTAGAATTATGTAATGAATAGTCACCATTCAATTCGGATTCAGTTTTAGAATTACCAATTCTAACAAATTACAAAATGCAATATGAAAAAGAAAAAAACGAGAAAAATTAAACAATTTCTATTCATGGATGGTTGTTTGAATGAAAATTTTAACAAATATTAATGATAAGCTACAATTGAAGAACATATGGAACTCAAAACAACTGTCTGTCAATTAATATCAAAGTTACAATCTTCAATATGAACGTCAACACAATTCTACTTTACGGAGCTGAAACTTGGACAACTACTACAAGCATCATCAAGAAGGTACAAGTATTTATAAACAGTTGTCTACACAAGATATTCAATTTCCGTTGACTTGATACCATCAGCAACAGCCTACTACGGGAGAGGACAAACCAGATTCCAATTGAAGAGGAAATTAGAAAAAGACGATGAAAATGGATAGGACATACATTACGGAAACCATCGAACTACATCACGAGGCAAGCCCTAACTTTGAATCTTGAAGGGAAGCGGAAAAGAGGAAGGCCAAGGAACACATTACGTCGGGAAAGAGAAGTAGATATGAAAAGGATGAATAACAACTGGAGTTAGCTGGAAAGGATTGCCCAGAACAGGGTCGGATGTCGAGTGCTAGTGGGCAGCCGATGCTCGTCCACGAGGAGTAGCAGGCATAGTAAGTAAGTACAATAAATTAATTCGGACCTAGATTTTTTCTGGATTAAGTCCTAATTAATAAGTGGTAACAAATAATTTCTTTCTTTAAACACATAAACATTTGTACAAGGAGGCACTAAAATATACGTGCATTACACAAATCATCCACTTTGTCTTAGGGAGACATTCCCCAAGCCTTTGATCTACAGGTCTAATCAATAAGGCAGTGGACCAACGTTAGGAGACGTAGTCCCTTGGTCGTCGGTGACCAACAATATGTTCATACGTCATCTGTACCCTCAGGATACTGGAGCCCATGTGCACCATTGGTTTGGAATCAGGGTTTTCCAACGTCCGTATCCACCAATTTGGCGCAAGCTCCGGATATTCGATTTTCGACCTCTCAGTTTCGTAAACAACACCCGTGGTGCGAGAAGTCAGTGAGTAAAACTTCTTTGACAGTTGCTGTATTTTGAAAGGGAGAGCTGACTCTCCCCACTCTCGGCCGTACCAGGACACTTGACGGCCGAGATCGCCACCAGACTAGATACTCTATTGATATGTTATACATAAGACTGGGATCCATTTATACCAGATATCCAATTCATGGCCAAAAAGCAGTAAACCAGAGTAAGGGCTAGACAAAGCTTTATGTGACACAATTGGAAGCAGTCTACACGCAAGAAGTCCAGAGTAGAAATCAATAATAGCAAGCAAATCACATATCTATTAGGAAGTAAGTTGAGTATCTGTCTACCTAAGTTCACTCACTGGTCAATCACATCATACATTCACTGGCCACATATCAGATCATGACATGAGATCTTAGAAAATATGCGACTAGTAAAGTTTAAAGGTCGAAGAAGAGATAACTTTATGCCAACCTTAAAAATATTATATGAATTTTAAAAGAAGTTGATGGGAATTGGACGGAGATAAATAGAAGGTTGAAAATAGAGTTTGTAATATGTAGCTGAAACAATCAATAAAGGCTGGTAATGTCACGAGAGTCTATTTATAGATCGTATTAGAACAAGGGCAACTGAATAAACCTCTTACATAAATACATAATACTTCTGGTTTTTTCAAGTTGATCACGAGAAGGCAGAACCTTGTATTTTCAGTTAAACTATTCTGCACGTCGTGTATATCGGAGAAAGTATTCGCCAGATTGACGCAGTGCTCACTGTTTACCCATAAAAGGAAGGATAGAGATCTATTTTTCCTGTCATAAGAGCATCTGATGAGAAGAGATCAACTAATTTATTTTCTTTACTTAGTACACTGCGCTTAAAACTTCAGAATTGTCCACTCGATGGTCTCATTATACACGAAAAATGTTTCGAAGGTTTCTAAGATCCGATAAATGACTTTCTACTGTGCATCGATTAGTTGATAAAAACGATAAAATGGCTAAACTAGGAGAATATTTGTTGGTCACTTACCTGAAGAGATTTTTTAAACTTATTCGTCCACTTTTACTGTGTTTTTGTTCAGTAGGAGGATTATTATTTGAAATGGAATGTGACGATGACTTTGAATCTTTGACTAAGACAGAATTATTTGAATGAATTTCTGGGCGAGATTTCGAATGAGCACGTTCAAGTTTATCAATTGTTTTGTAGACTGAAGGAGAAGAAGAGAATAAAATAGAACCTGTGGATTTTTCAGGTAAGGGATTGGAGTTTTTTGTTTTGCTGGAATTTTTATGCTGAGGATTATTAGACAACTTGTCACGAGTGCCGCTTTCACTACGCGGACGATGTGGTGGTATGGGGGGAGCAGATGATGGGGAAGCATTTGTATCAAATGAATTATAGTATGCGGTAGTAGTATCAGCAGCAGTAGTAGTGGTAGTAGAAGTAGGGTAAAATGAACGATCTACGGCATGACGGAAACTAGTATTTTGCTTTCGATTTCTTAGAATTGGCGGTTGATCTAGCTGAGACTCGATGTCTATTTCCTCTGGATCTAAAAAATAGGGATAAGAGGACAAGAAGTGAAGATTATAAAGAAAAGGTGAAAATTCCACACATATAAGTAAAATATACGCAAAAACAAACAAATTATTTTTTTTTTGAGTTAGAATCATGATCTTGAAATTTTTTAGGTCAACAAATATCATGGTCTAACAGTGATCGGTTCAAGATTTAAATGAAATACCATTGTACTTAATCGTCAACTCTGTTTGTTTTATAATGATGAAGACTCAGTAGTTACTGCTACTAGATCAATGACACCAAATCAATTGTGCTTGGTTATACTCGGTCAGTAGGATATCCACGCCAGCTCTCAAACATAAGAAAGGTGTGTTTCGAGGGCAAGGTGCACGAGTCATTTTATGTTTAATTTGTTCAAACATTTTATACTACTTATATTTGCTTACAGTAATTTAATAAAAAACCATGCAAAACATGCATGTATATATATATATATCTTGTATGTACTGATTAGGTTAAATGAAACATTAAAAAAAGTAGTAATTAGATAGCCACAGCAACCTCTTTACATAAACTAAGGAGGGGGGGAATGTAGTGTATAACAAAAAAATCACACAAATATATGCGTCTTAACGAGATGAAAAGAATGAAACACAACTCGAATTATGCGAAACTACGATGTTAGAGTGATAGACAAAAATAGTATTATAGTTAATTAGTTGACATGAAAAATATTTTTTTTAAAGTTATTATAATTAACCAAACAGCACACCATAACTGAGTTACACAACCAAATACTAGAAACTATGCAGAAAAAACTCATTTATGTGCAACTACACATAAACATTAACCAACACAACATTAGTAACTATGATGTACAATTGAAGAATTGTAGGACATGTGTTTTCTAGTTTATTGATGTATCTAATCAGGTCATTTTATTTCTAGAAAGTATGAGAAAGACTTTAAAAAAATTTAGTACACTGTTGATCGAATATATTCAGAAGAAAACAAATGCGATATAATTAGATATAATAGAATATAGAATTCTAATGAAGCAAAATTAGCAGCAGTGGCCTAGCCGTGAAAGTAATCGACTTTCAATCAGTAAACCATAGGTTCGAACTCATTTCTAACTATTTCAATCTGAATAAAAACTGAGTATCACTACTATATATATATATATATATATATATATATATCTTACCGAGAGCCTGGTTCGAAATCTCTACTTAGAAAAATAAGTTAAATTATTCATACGATAACAGAAGAATAGATTTACGACGATCTAATTGTATTATTATTGCTTGACGAGTCATCGAAATCAGCATTCCCACACACGCAGACGCACACAGAAAAACATATTGCTTAGGACAACAATTGTTGATAACAGGGTTGGTTATTTGGTTTCGATTGACTACGTTATTTATATCACACCCAAAGCTAGTTGTAATTAACTCATTCATCGAAAGCTACGAAACATTCATGTTTCATGATGAGTAAAATGCCTTTAAACCAATAGGTTAGAAAACAATGATTAAATGTCTCCAACTTCGTTTAATTGAATTCAGTGGAGTAACCATTACTGATACTCACTGTTTAAGCATTGGCATACAGAACTAGATGTGTTTACATCAATTATACCTGTAATTATATTTAGACTAACTCCACATTTCACTAACTTAATGATATGCCTCCAAATGCCCTGGTACGGCTGAGAGTGTGGAAAGTCAGTTCTCCTCCCCGTCCGAACGCTCTCACATGGTCACATGCATACAATCACTACCAGGGAAGTCCTACTCACTACATTCTCGCACCAAGGATGTTGCTTACGAAATTAAGGGCATGAAAACCGAATGTCCGGAGCATTAACCGGGTTGGTGGATACGGAGAGTCTACATAGGGGAGTTGGAAAACCATCATTCCAAACCAATGGTACACATGGGCTTCAATATCCTGAAGGAACAAATTGCGTATGAACATATTGTTGGCCACCGACTACTATGGGGACTGCATCTTCTGACGTTGCTCCACCGCCTTTTGGATCAGACCTTTGGATCGAAGGCTCTGGGTGTGGCCCCTTAAGAAAACAACCTATTTCAGTTTGGTTACCCGGGCAGTATCATAGTCCATACACAAATTAAGTTCATCCTGGTGCCTCTTTGTACCAATGTTTATGTGTTTAAATAAATAGTTTAATGATATCATCATCACAAGAGATAATAATTTAAATAAACTTTAAGTACTGATATATCAGTGAACTGTAGTGTATACACACATGAACAGAGAACATATGACTAAATCAGAATTTTACCGTATTTATAAATATAATGCAACATAACTCATTTAAACTATGCATTTGTATTTATATGCGTTAAATGAAGATAGAAAATATAAAATCACAGGATATATCGATTAATCAGTGGAGAAAGATGAATACTAATGAGATGGTCTACATGAATCACTATCAGTAAATATACAACATAGAAAATGAGAAATAAACGTTTAATCAAGCAAAGTATATAAGTAGTATAGATAGCAGTGGTAATAGTAGTATAAGTGGAGTGATTTAACTAACGTGATTAATCCAGGAAATGTTTAATTATAACAGATAATATATATAGAAACTCATTCATGCATGGAAATAAAATGGGAATGATAAGTATTGATTATCGTGTACAATCTATATGTTGTATGATAATGCAGAAAGTCAATCGACTGATTGTCATAGTATCAGCTTTAATACGTTTTGACTCAACCGTTCAAGCTATAAACATTATTTACATTCTTTGTAGATGTGTATCTCATCATGGACTAATCAAAGTTAAGATGGTGTCATCAAAATCCGATATATACGGAACTCGTCATGTAATGACACCAATTAATAACACCATCATATCAAAAAAGAACACACCAGTTTTAGATTTGATGACGGTGAGTTACCAAACAACGAATTACCGTCATATATACATCTCCAACTTTGTAATTTATACAAAAATAAATCATTTAAGCTTTTATCAGATAGTATATTTATTATTTACATCTGATGGTAATGGTAGGCTTCCATGAATATCAAGAGAATATGGAACATAATGTGGTTCAAATTCTTTGAAATCTTCAAAAACTCGGAGAAATTCATCATGTAACACTGAAATTTGATATCTTAATTTGTGAATAAATCCTAGAGAGAGTGTTTGAGTATCTATTATTATTATTATTATTATTATTATTATTATTATTATTATTATTATTATTATTATTATTCTAAGCACACGTGGGCTTATTTACAGATATACCGGAATATATCAGAAAATTGAAAATCACCGTTGTACACAAAAACAGACTAAAAATACCAATGAATCAGCCATGCGATAACTACCCCATTTAGGAATAATTTTAGAATAATGTGACAAACATTAATAGTTAATGGTTCAAATAGGAGTTTACAATAAATGGAAGATGAAAACATAATAGTCCAGTTACCTAGTGATTATGAAACAAGAGTACAAATAATAATAGCTCAATAAGTAGATTCAAGAGTTGTCATTTCTTCAGTCTTACTTTGATGATAAAATAATTAAAGTATGATTTCACTCTTGCAAAAAAAGAATACAAAGAATCACTTAAAAATCGACTTCTACGTCTACTATAATCAATGTGTGTTCAGGGTAAGTCACGTGTAATAAAGAAACCAGTGAACATATGAAAAAGGAGCTAACGCGAACGATAAACCTTTACAGTTTTTAATACAACAGAAGGATGAAATATAAATTCAATGTAAACTAGTGAAGTTTAAAACAGGCATGTGTATGTGTGTAACCTTTCTTATAAAACTTGCTTTAAGAAGAAAACTCGTGTGCTGCATAATAGTTCAATATTTCAAGATCATTAGTGCAAGATATCTGTCGAGATTTTTCATTGGATATTTTACATTACGGATTGGCTTTAGTCAAACAATCATTGCAAACCAAGAGATACTGACAGTTATTTCTTCCCAACAGGGATTTATTAAGAATGATCACGTACTACCTCCCCACAAAAGACTGGAATCAGGATCTTTAGATTTCGCGACTGGGGGTTGTATTTTAAACCAATGATGAGACCCAGTGTCTATTAATCACCAAAGACCTCTTAATTCAACATTGCGTGTGTTGGTTGGAGAAGGTTAAACCGATTTCTGTTCTTCTGACTTCGTTGCAAAATGGCTACAGAAAAGAGACGTTAAAGATTGATGGTCTAAACTAAGCTTAATCCTTTTGCTTACGATATTCACAAACACATTTTCGAATCTTGTCTCATTTACTTCGATCAGAGTAGTCATGTAATTCTTACAGAACACAGAGAGTGACGTATAAACTTGAGTACAAATTTTTTTTATAATACAGATCCACAAAAGCAGATAAAGAATGACCATGATGATCAAATCTATACCTGAGTGAGTTTATTTGTAAAGACAATAGCTTGCTCTTTTTGAATAGATTAGATTGTAAATGATATTACATACCTTGGAACTGGGATGATGAAATATGGACGATTACAGACTCCATTCACATGATAATCATACACAATTGTTCATTGGAAGTCTACAATCATCATAGCTCGTTTATTCCTGATTCGTAATTGATTTAAATCGTTATACAGATTTAAAATACTAATCATCAGAACACTCAATCTACACACATAAGCTAAATAAGTGACTACGTAATTTCCAATGTATGGTGAATAGTTATGATCTTATCAAATAGGCGATGAAAACCATGACAATAAGGAGGTTTGTAGGTTCAGAATTTCAAGTTTCAGAGAGCCATTAATATACACCTTTGACTATGACTAAAGTAGTGTGCATTAATTGATAAATTTCAGGAAAATATAAATTCGAAGTAGATCAATAAATCTGTGTCAATAGCAAACGCGGTACAGTATTTTCCCAATATTTTAAGGAACCATAAATGTGATACATAAAAAAAGGCATATATCATATAAAAGTGCTACTTAGCCAATAGAAAAATGAGATAAAACTAGCCAATCAAA